GTCGAGGGATATTTTCTATTTTTTTTTGTCCGATCGCAGCTCAGCGAGCCAGTGGCAACGTGGGCATCATTGACGTCCCCCCCAAAAAAGGGGGTGTCCCATAACATGAAGGAAATGGTATACGTATAACGGAAAAGATCCAATAATTCAGGTGCATTGCCGTAATAAAATAATTGTATAGAGAAAAAGATATCCGTTGTATGGAAGTTTTTTTAACCCAATAACAAAATCATAAGTTCCGACTTTGAAATTACTAATAACTTTTTTTTGAATACTTTATAACCAGGAAATCCTCCACGCATAATTGATCATGAATATGTATTGGTGTTTAAAAATGTAATCGGTTACTTAAAGTGCGTGTTTAATTAAGACATGAAATTCAGAGATCAGAGATAAATAACATGACCCAAAAGTATATTTGAACTCGATTATACATTTATAACTTATATAATATATTTGAATATTTATTATTCGAATGACTATTAGTTAGAACATAGAAATATAGAGAAATATTTTTGACATTTTGGATTAGTTTTCCTTTATTCTGTTAGAATATTTTTAAAAATTAACAAATAACTACCTATGTACTTTAAATTTTTCATTTCAGAATATTTATTAATTTCCATAAATAGTACCATAAAGAATATACTGATAAAGAACATTTTTTTTACTACAAATAAAATTATAGAACAAAATTATACATTAATTCAGTACCTACCTACCAAATTGTTTTCTAACCTAATTTAAAAGTTAATTAGGTATTCTTATATTTATACGCCTTTTTTATCAATTGTTTATATGAATTATAACTTTTTTTTTTTAAAACGTAGGTATACATATACGTTTGTCTAATTATAATTATCAGTAAAATACTTAAAGTAAATAATTTTTCTTGATTAAATTTTTAATTATTAAGAACTATTTTTGATGTTTTTTATACCAAAATTAGAATAATCTTTTGAGAGCCTAGTTCTGTTTCTCAGAAAAATAAACATAATAATAATAAGAATTAATAAATGTTAACTTTTATTCTTCTTCTGCTTCTTCTTGGATTTATAGTGCCCTAACTCTTATTATAAAATGATACCTACTATAATCGTTTTTAACATAGGTAGGTACATTTTTTAAACGGGTAGTTATTATATTAGAAGTAATCGTTACATTTTTACCCAAAGTATTATGCAATAGTAACCCAACTTTACTTAAATAGGAGTGAAAAATAAAACTGCCAATTGTATATAACAATATAATATATCTTCATGACTTTGCAGTAAAACTTATTTCTAATGCAACAATGCAAATGTATAAAAATATAAGTTAAATATACCTTCGAAATACAATGTTTAAATAATATGTCATGTTGCAGTTAGGGTTCATATAACATGATATTTGTTCAACCTTTAGTGTGGTAGATACTGTAGGTAATATAAGTATATGACACATAGTATAGTATTCAATCTATACATACTGATACTACACAGAAGTGAGAAATATAATGTATATAATAGCCGTTTTTATTCATTACACATACATTATGTGTTAACACCTTTAACTTTATAAGTTTTTAAGTTTGTGTATCTTTTAATATACATACATCTGCACTTTGCTATCTCACATTGTTTTAAGATTTGAACTTTGTAATTAATAATTTTAATAAACGTTCGACCAAACCATTAAAATGAATTTATTTATTTATACTTATTTTGCCAATAGTTTGTAGCGCAGATTTTTATTTTATCATCCTTACATGCATTTTATTTTGTCCACGCAGAAATGAATGAATAATAACACTTTTCAAGTATATTTTAACCTATGTCCAATAAATTTTGATAATCACATACCAGATATATTAAATAGATACCATAAACTCATAGACACAGTCGTCACGTATTTTTTAAAATAATAATAAAATTGTCCTCTGATTCCACGTTTTTGACTATTTTGGCCTTGTCTTTTCTCGTCTTAACGTGGATTTTCGTACTGTACTACAATGTATTATGTAAACTCGTAACAAAGGTTTTACAGCCTTGAAACATATGTTAGTATATTAAGAGCATTCGTATCACGTAATATATGAAATTATCTGGGATAACTTCTTTTTAATTTAATTTTTGGCATTCAATGTTGACATTCTCATGAAAATTAACTTTTTTGTTATAGTTTCATCTTTTGAAATAATGTATTTACCATTCTATGTGAACTGTATGGTATTTTGCATTTAAATAATAATACTTTTAGATTCTCTTTATTTATATTACCTATATTAATATATTATAGTATTTGACAGTTATGTATATTTTAATTAAAAAACTTCAACTGGTGATTTTTGACATTCATTTTAGAATTTAATTTAATATAATATTTATATTAATTGTTATTTGTTGGTGTACAATGTACATACCAGATACCTACTACAAGTTTGAGTTTTGAACTAATTTATTAATAAGTTTTCTAGTGGTTTGTTTTATTAACTGTACAGACTTGATGGTAAATAGTTTATTTTTTTGCAAGTTTTAAATACACAAAAAACTTGGAGTTTGAAAATTACATATTTAAAAAGAAAAGCAACTTTAGTTTTTATCAAAAGTATTATCCCTTCTATGAATATTACGTTATGAGTACTGCTGAGTATTTATATCAATAGTAGGTTTATTTAAAACAGAAGTAAAAATGTACTTTATATTTCAAAACGTATATTATTATGTTGAGTACCTATTTATCAGAAAAATATGTAAAATTGGCTCTACTTTTTGAATCGTTTTTAAAACGTGACACATTTCACATTTACACTATGGTACACTGCCTCTAAAAGAACCGTTAAAGTGCCTTACTCAATATGAAAAAAAGATTATAGACATGTCTACTGCCTTTTTATTTAATTATGTACTTTTACTATTAAATAAAATAACCTGTATAAATAACTAAATTACTAGGTACTAAACATTAAGTATTTAAATATTTTTTATATGTGTTATTTTACTATAATTATTCCAATAATGTATTCACTTTTTAAAGCTTTACATAGTAGTATAGTACATAGACATATATACATAAACCCACTACAGTACTACCTAGTATATACCTGTTTTTGTTTATATATATTATAAATATCCTTCAAATTTTAATTGATTAAAAATCAATTTAAATATTTTGCACATAAAATTCAATTATACAGTACCTATGTCTAAAGTTAAAGGTAACACTACATATTTTGTAGAACGGCCTTCAATTTAAATCAATATTTTTATAAGGGAAGGGGGGATCTTATATTAATAACTTTGAGAAAAGCTCAAATTATCAGCTCTACACCCATTTATTAAAATAAAAGATTAAATTTATATTTCTACATTTTTTTTTTATTAAAATTGTATCGTACTATAATCAATTAAAATTTAAATTTACTGAATTGACTCAAACTTTTAACCCATTTAATAAAATTGTCAGAAAAAAATACATACCTGTAGGTACATTATTTGATATAATGATTTCATATATTGATATATATATATTATATTTGATGCCACGAGGAATCGTTAGTTTAGGTACGTGTGCAGAATATCCAATGTCCAAAATATTTGAACTTCAAAATCTCATAAAAATTTAATTAGGTTTTCTGGTGAATACTTTGTTTGTTAAAGATAGGAAATCTTATGATGAATCTTGTATTCAGTTTTCAAATCTTAGATATAAATATAAATTTTTTTATGTATTTTGTTACTACAAAATAATTTGCAAATGTTCACGATCTTGACTTGTCAAATTTTATAGAAATTATAACTTCAGACGCTCGTAAAATACTACTGTAGATTTACACACAACTTTCTTTTTAATTTCTACTCACAGCTTAAGACGAACCTTGTATTAAGTTTTCAATTTTTTTTTACCAAGAGAACAATTTTTTATCGACAATAATTTAAAAAAAAACTATAACGCCTATAAAATAGCTCAAAAGACACAAGATATTTTCCAACATTTCCAACATTTTGTGGTGTATATATATGCTAATATAAACATTCACGTACTTATAGTACCTACTGTACCTACACCAAAAACGAAAATGATTTTATCGATTATGTAAAACTTCCCGTTTTTCACAATTTTTTTTCCCCGAAGCTTTTGAAAACTACTGGGAATTTTAAATGGTAACCTTTCGAATGGTGCAACTAGATCCACTTTCCCACCAGAAAAGTTACTGCGAAGTTGAAAATTAAATCATCATTTCGACTTATTATCGTGTTCAGTGTTCACAATCAAAAATAAAATAAAAATATACATCATTGTTAAATCAATACATATTCATCGTTCCTCTCAGAATCTAAAATGTGAAGTTTTGTTTGGTTTTTACTAAAACAAAGTAAAATACATTTAGTTCCATTTTTTCAATGTTATCTTCTAAAAAAGTTAACCTAACTTTACATAACCATCTAAACATAAATTGAGAATTATAAAAACTATTCTTTACAAAACTAATAATACTCCATAAATGGTCAGAGTTAAATTAAATTTGTCCCGTAATTGTAATTTGTATACCTATTGACTATTGTTATTAACTGTATAGATGGGTACATTATGGTTATATTAGATGCATATACATATATACCTATTACCTTTAGTTATCTGCAGGCATGCTCACCCATATTATTTAATTTAATAATGAAATCATTAATTTCTGATTTCAAAATTTTGAAATTCACTAGGTAAATGTATAACCGTATCAGATAACAGTTTCAAGTTGGATTATTATATAAAACCCTTTTTTATAAACTAAAGGTATCATTTATTACCTGCAAACTCTTTTTTAAAATTATCACATTTCTAAAGATTTTATTATTATAATTATTAAATTAGAATCGTACACCTTATGGATTGATTGAATAACATCGATATCAACATAATAATATACCTACAATCTACATAATCAATTCAAATATATACATTTTTTTAATGAACTCTTTTTAAGCGAATTCTGGTTTAACTAAAACCAATATTGTATTGTATAGTTCTTGAAGAAAGAAGCTGACTGTGACAAGACTGACGACCGAAGCATTCAAGGGGAAAGCTCTTCAGAATATCGGAGTATACCAGATCCGGTAAGCATAAAATATTGTCTATTTATTTATTCAAATTGCATCCATTCCCGTTGTTATTAAATATATTTATAAATAATAATAAAAATCGAACTTGGAGTAGAAAATGATAAAAATATTCGTTTTATTTTTTAACGAGACTGAACGTAATTTAGAGAATAAAACTAGAACAAATTATACAATTTTTTTTTTGTAATTTGCTGATATTATACGGCTAAAAAATATTTAAATGCTTTTACATAAACTAAGTGCAGTCTCAAGAAGTTGACTTCAAAACATTTAATTATTGTTTAATACATATTATAGGTTCACTTGATTTACTCTCCAAATTCTATAATTATCATAGGTACTTAAGCGATAAATGTTGTGAGCTGTGTAATTTCTGTATTAATCACAAAGTGGTGACCATTTCAGAGCTGGATTGCTGCACGCTGCAACTTCCACGTTTTGTATAATATAAATCTATTTAAAAATAATATGGACTATAAAAGGTATAATGCTGAGCAAACTTCATTTTTTAAACCACCGTTAATGATTGTTGATAAACCTATTATAATTGTAATTAATTATTTTAATTCATTATATTATTGCAATAATTATGTTTTATGAGCACATGAAGCCATTAAAATTCAACTTTTGATTTCACTCATTTTGATAAAGTTTAATGTTCTACTTCGTCACCTAATTTGAGTATAGTAACTCTTAAGATATAATAGCCGATCGTTCAACATGAACATTTTTTTCGTTTTATTTGATTTCTTCAACTTCGATACTGTTTATAAATCATTATATTTTAAACAATTAAAGAAAATTATTTATAACAACCAAATACGGAATTATCTGTTATATTTAAGTTTTATAAACTTGTTGGTGTGTCTTAAATTGTGTGAATATGAACTCCTCTTAATCCAGTGATTAAAATCTCTTTTTAAAATACACAAAAGAATTTCATGAAAACATTATTCTTAAAATTTTACGGTTTATGTACCACTTAATCCTATTTCATATTGTTGAAAAACTAGTAGTTTCGTGATTGTAAATCGACGAGACTCCATACTCGCTATCTACTATTTGAACGTTTAATCACGGATTCTTATTTTGTCATTTTTATTTTTAATTGGTCAAATACCTACTATAGTTACATAGTCAATCATAATGATATACACCCAATAACGATTGTTTTAAATAAAATTAAATGTGTACCTAAGTATACCACAGCGCAACCAGGGTTAGAATTCAAAGGGAGATCTACAGCCCAAATCGAAATTGTGTGTTTTTATTATCTTCACTATTTTTCGAACGTTATAATGACGCATAACAAGACGTCAAGTCCTAATGGATAAGTAGTATAAAGAGAGCTTTAAATTAGTTAATATATGGTCTTAATTGGACCTTAGAAAGTAGTAAGAAACAATTCTCCTCGTTGCCGTTGGTCAAAAAGGGAAAATGGGGATCTAAATTACAAACTGCGGGGGTCAAGGACCATTACCAACCCCAGTTGTGCCGTACCATCTAATATTATTGTATCTACACTGCGACGAACCGGCCGAAAAATGCCAACAGCGCGCAGTGGAGGCGATTGTCAAAAATATAACTGCGAAAAACTCACCAAACCAGAAACGACCTTCGCTACGATTATTTCATTTAAATTTCGCATTTGCATATACCGCTGCTACACCAATGTTCGGTACGAAAATTATAATCATTAACCCGTGTGATCATAAATTTAAAAAAAAAAAAAAAACATGCATATTGTACATGTGTATTTTATAATAATAATATAATACACTTAAATATTATATTATGCGTTTTCTTAAACGAACGGTGCGCGTGGATTGGAGTTTTCGATCGTAAAATATTATATTATATTTTACATATATATAGAAATATATATATATATATATATGTACATATATGGTGGCCTGGCCGCACCTGTAGCCAAAACAAAAACAACAAAAAAAAAAAAAACAACGTCAACTTCTTGTGCTGACACTTTTATTTTGTCCTCCATGAGTATTATTTACTTGAATACAGTATATATCAATAATATTACAATTTTTTTTTTTGTTTTTTTTTTTTTATCTTTTTTTCTCCTCGGTTTTTTTCCATACACCCCCTTACGTAAACAATTATACTAAACGAAATTTACCAGCGAAAAGAAGTTGATGAGAGTTATTTTTTTTTTTGTTTTTTTCGTTTGGGTTACAGGAGCGCGACAGCAGGACGACGACGACGACGCCAACGACGGCCACGACCACGACCACGACGCCAACGACGGACGCCGTCGTCGCTTTAGCAGCGATACCGCCGCGGTTTTATACGTGCTTGTACTGCAACCTAACGTTCCCGCACCAGAGCAAACTGACGCGGCACATACTGTCGCACAGCCTGGACAACCAGCCCGTCGGCACGTCGTTTACGGACCCCGGCGGCGGCGGCGGTGGCGGCTTGTCCGTACCACCGCCACTGTCGTCGTCGGCGGCGGCGCTGTCGCTGCAGCAGGCGTGCGGCATGGCGGGCGCGGCCGCGATGGACGACGGCGTGGGCGGTACGCTTTGCAAGTTTTGCGGCAAAACGTTCCCGGACGTGGCCACGCTGGTCGGCCACCTGCCCGCCCACACCGGCGACCGGCCGTTCAAGTGCGAGTTCTGCGGCAAGGCGTTCAAGCTCCGGCACCACATGAAGGACCACTGTCGCGTGCACACCGGCGAACGGCCGTTCCGATGCTCGCTGTGCGGCAAGACTTTCAGCCGGTCGACGATACTCAAGGCGCACGAGAAGACGCACTACCCGAAGTTCACGGGACGCCACCGGTTCATGTCGTCGCCCAGTCCCGAAGAGGAACCCGGAGGAGGCGGGGGAGGCGGGATGTTAGTGGGTGGTGGGTTGGGGAATAATTTCGGAGGCGGAATGGCGCAGGCGGTTGCGACGATCGCGTCCGCCGCCGCCGTCAGACCGTTCGACTTGACCGTCATCCAGCACCATCATCACCACAGGCACGGCAGCGGGTCGCCACCCGCCCCGCCGCCGCCTCCGCCCACGCCACCATGACGACGATTGTTTCCTTATAGAGTGTAGTAGAAATAGGGTCGCGCCGCCGGGACCGTTCTCTACGCGCTCAGTCATAATATACGATAATACACTATTATATATTTTGTTACATTGTAATATCCGTCATATATTATTATTATTATTATATAGTTATTAACTTATTATTACTACATTGCATTATTCGCTATATACTATCTGATAAACTGAAAACACACGCAACAACACCTGCACGGTGTATGCGGTTTTCGTATAGGTGATTATTTTGAACGTGAAAGAAAAAACTACCCAAATTCCAAAAATATACCGTCTGAATTAAATCTCGAAATGACTTTGGTGGACGTGGTTTCGTCCTCGTCTACAATGCAGGTTCCTACTTCCCGTGTATATACCTACGCAGCATTCATATAATATACGTGCGACACATTTCGTCGTTTGTGTTTTTTTTTTGCACGCTTCGTTGCGTGACGAAAAACAAAAACGATCGTTGGAACGTTTAACGGCTTCACCTCCCCCCCTCCCCGAATAATTTGCCCCACTCACCCCATCGCAGAAGGTTAGGATCGAAAACTGTTCAAATATTTTAGGTTAGAATCAATACCTGCACGCGCCGCGCCGTCTTTCGTGCATGCCTCATATATTATATAGCTGTGCCCTTGTCGGTTTGCGTTTTGTACACGAGCCGGCGAAATCGGCCTCGGTCAACAAATCGTCGAGAGGATATGGCTGGTGATAAAAACTATAATAGTAATATGATATGCGCCGATGGGCTATATAAATATAATACCCAGCAATGAAATTATTGGCTCGAATGCGCCTTCGAATAGGGCACTGCACTTTTATACCGAAATCGGCCGTACATCATATGGACGAATAAAAAGCTCATAATTATCTATGATTTTTGTTTCGTCGAAATTAGTATAGTGCGTGTCGGTGAATTTCCCTCCCCGGCCCCCGTTGGCACTAGATTCGATTTACTATTGACATTTTCAAACATAAAGTACGACAAATACTACGCATTATCTTTTTAGTATACGTTATGCTAATTTATGCTTTGGATATTCTTATCTTTACTATACGTTTAGCAACAAAATTAAACAGCCCGTCAACATTTGCTGTTAGATTCCGAACGGACGACTGAATCTGTGCGTATATTATGGTATACATAGCTTGTACATCTCGTCCTCCTTCGATGCCATGAGCAATACCAGATCGTTGTAAAATTCTCAATTAAAAAAATTAACACTAACAAATAATAATAATCACCGCTTTTAAAATGCATTTGATTTGTATTGAAACGTTTTCAAACACAAACCAGATGTTCTCTTTTCACACGGAATTACAGAAGTTTAAAAGAGTATTGGACGCGCATCATTTATTATTCTCCCGACACGAGGACAACATTTTATTCATCCGTAAATTGTAATTATTTTAATACTCTCTAGAAAAAACCTCCTTTTTTTTTTACGTTCAAGCTAATTACTTTTGAAAACTTTACATTCAGATGAACCCCTTGAGTACTTCTAACATTAGTAACAATTAACGGTGTGTATAATTGGTTAAGGGTTCAAAAATCCAGAGTACATTTTTTAACATACTTAATTTCGCTCATCATTATTATTATAACGCTCTAGCGCCTATTCATAAGTCAGTAGATTTAATTTTCTGTGATATGCAATTATATAATAGAATTTATATATTTATATAAATAATTATACAATATCTAATTTTAATAACAGAAGTAGGCGTTAACATGGACCAGTGCAGCTTATTAATATATTTTAAAAAGTACTGACTGACATCACAACTTCGAATCTGTTTTATAATAATATTATTAGGTAGTTCCACTAATGATGATACAATATGGCGTTAAAAACATTGTTATTGTTTATTTTATTTTATTTTTTAGTTAACCAACCAAAAAACTTTACTCTTATTCGGTTTTTTTTTTTAATTACTATCGAGTATTTAATTAAACATATTTAATAAATATAGATAAGTAATATTTTGATTTAATTCTCGGTTTAATGTTAAATTTTTTAAATTTTTTTTCATCGAATTTATTTTAATTTGTTTGTCCGTATTTTAAACTTTTAAAATACGATGCTCAGAATATTATAAAATCCAGTTCGTCGTTATAAACTCATCATAATATACATAATTTAAACGCATCGCAAATATTAACCTCATAAATGTTTACACATTTTCCTGCAGAAGACACGCGTGCTCATATGAGTTAGTGTAAGGATCAAAACTTTATTTTTTCGAAAAACATTTACTATATTATATTATAATATATTATTATGTACGTTTTACCAGTCATGTCACCGTTTATTGTTAATTATTGGCACTCAATTGCAAAATATAATATAAGTCATTTAAGCTTTTTATTTATTATTTGTTTGTTAAAATCTATATAACACGTGTGATCAAATTTTCTCATTTTCATAAAGTTATTATTATATATAATTACAATTATAAAGTAGATATAAAAAATGTACGTAATGTTGAATTCTATACCAGAATTAAAATAGCGAGATTTGAAGGAACAAGAATGTGATATTTTTTCGATAGTTGATTAGAATAATATATTGTATTATATTATTGAATAAGATTAATTCTTTATAAAGATATTATTTGTACTGTACTTAGTCGTGGAATGTATTAATTTGTTCAAAAAGTATAGTATAAAATAATAGTTTTATGTTTTTGAATAATGATATTAATAAAAATGAATAATATAAAATAGGTACCTACACCATAATAATTAAAATGATTAGGAATTAGGTTTATGTTTAGTGTTTTGATTACATTACAGTTATTTGTACATAACAATACCAACTAACTATGATTTTATGTGATTAAAATATTTTTCTTTAAAATGAATGATAAACTTGTCAATAAGGATGTATCAAATCCGTCTCATAAAATTTAATTTCATAATATTTAGTTAACAGTGAAGTTAAAAAAAAAAAAAATATATATATACAATTTTAATGGCAAGTCTCAATTTATTGTTATGGTACAAAATACAAAATAATGTCACTATGTGAGGAAATTATCTCAAACATTTATGTTTCATGATTTAATTCTATTCAGTTTGTTGATGGACCAAAACGAACGTAACATATGACCTGAACTCGAACTGAGCAGTGGTATTTTTAAACGATAAATATATGGCCATATGGGCTTAATTTTAGGTTAGGCCATGGTCGTCTGCGATTACCGTGGGTTAGGATTAAGGTGTTCCGACTGTGATAGGCTACATATTGTATGGTGTTTAAAAGATTTGTTATAAAATATAATATATGTAAACAGGGGATTTGAAAGACGTCCTCTTGATGCTTTGTAATCTTCGTCATTGCGCGCTCCTAATCAAACAGCGCTCTAATTCTTATCACTACACTTTATAAAGTTATATAGTATCTTAACATATTAATAATATAAGCTCAGAATTCCTACGTAAAGGGAAAACATTCGATAACGATAACCAAGTCATATAATGCTCAACTCGTGTATAATATACTTTTTAGCTATAACGCGTGACTCGAGTCAGCAACATTACAATATAGCATAATATATAATTATTATAGTATTATATGCGGGTAAAATCTAAAGACATGTAATATTAAAAAAATTACGAAGTTTACAAACACCGTAAGAGAGTCTTTAAAAATCTCCCGCGTTTATTAAGTGTCTTTTTGTTGTTAAATCGGTTAAGTTTTTTAATTTTCGAAAAATCTTTTAATACGTTTAAGCATTTATATTTGTCACCAAAATCATTTATCATTTTCAGAAGCACTTGTGCACACTATTATTTTTTTTTTATCTTACAGCACAACCATAATGTTTCTTATAATGTTACCCAATTATTAACGTGGTGACCCAATATGTAAACCATTTATGCATACAATTAGGCAGTATTTGTATTATGTAATGAAAATTTATTTTTCAATAAAGTGCGACGATGATGCGATTATGTGAGCCCCGAGTAGCGTATAAGAAATAATTTTTAGTAAATGTGATAACGAGACAAGTGAGAACATCGATTATTTTTATTATTAGGTGCTAAAAACATTATAAGATTAGCTTTTTGTGTATTTTATTATAGTTTTTTTTTTTCTGTCAGTGCAATAAACATATAAAAAAAATTGCTAATGTACGAAAAATAACCGAGTATTCATTTTTATCCCCATCCTTACTCAACACTCACACACACTTAGTTTAAGTTTTTATTATATATAATAATATATTTATTATATCATACATTGAATATTAAGTATACACTATATGTCTATATACATCTTCATAGGTACTACACACGCTGTGTATTTTTTACTCATCAATAGTATAGTCATTAGAACAAATAGGGGGGGGGGGCTTGGGAGGACTTAGTCCCCCCAGTTCAAAGTCTAATAACTAGACAATTTGCGCCTTTGAGTATAGTATCACACTACTACTATAGAATTGCAATAACGCGTCTAATTATATATAGGTACATCTTACACATAATATAATATGAGTGTAATGAAATGAGGCCACTGTATTATTATAATATGGTTTTCGAATATCTGGCCAATATTGAGTCCATTAAACGAGGGTCGTTTTACGTTAACATTGATTGATTTGTGTGTGTATTATGTGTGAAATAGGAAGTTTGCTTGGTGGAAGGGGTGTTCAACACGTTGGCCGCATACAGGTCGCAAGTTTCCGTTCTACAACAAGGATTTTCCGCTTTCAGTCGGTTCTCGACTCTGCCGCCCGTTTACAATACAGGTAAAAAGAAAAAATAATAATAATAATAATAATGCCCTACACAGGGAATTAATACTCTAAACCAGGGGGTCTCCAAACTTTTATTCAAGGGCCACAAAAAAAAATCAAATGCTCTTAGCGGGCCAAAAGTTTATTAACACATATTATCATTTTTAACTTAATGATAATGCGTAGGTACCTATATAAATAATATGTTTAATTTATATTTTTGTATAGAATATTGTCTA